TTTCCGGTCTACTACACGGAATACGGTTTCTTCTCTCTCTCTCTCTCTCTCTCTTTTTTTTTTTTTTTATTATATATAGAAATATAGAAGAAAATAAAAATAAAATGAAATAAAATTTTTAAGAAGATTTATAATAAAAATGCTTTTATACAAGAATATTTGTCTTTGATTTGACAGATTTTTTTTCTGTGTAATTCGAAAGTCTGCATAATTGTTTTGATAACTCAACGAAATTATTTTCAAATCTATATCTGTGTCGACTTTTTTTTTTTTCTTTTAAACACTTCAGCAAATCTATTCTTTCCGTGTATGAATGGCCGGGCACGGCGTGAAAGGGACGCAAACCGGACCGGAAGTCGTACGTGCGACTCCGAAATCACACGCAATCACGCGTGACGCGAACGCGCGCTGCATTAGGGCGATCGGATCGGCTGCGATAGCCGGGCCAGCCGTCTCGTTTTAAAGTTGCGAGAGCTTCAAACTAGGTCAAAAGGCAGAGCTTGCGTCCACCCGCCAACCTACTTGGAACACGCCCGAATGAAATCGGGCGAATATTCCTTTGCTGCTTTTCGTCTTTTGGTACCGTTGGTGAAGAGGGGGAGAAGCATCGATCTATTCGAGGGTTGTTTTTGCCCTCGCGCGAAACATTCTTTATTTTCCCGGTTTCATTTTTTTCCGGTCTGTATATTCTTAATAATAATAATAATAATAATAATAATAATATCATATTGTACGTAATAATAATTTTTGCGCATTTATTACGCTTGACTGCACTCGTTCGCGAACTTTTTCTTTTTATTAATTGATTTTAAGAATCCTTGATCTGTTTTATTCATTACATTATTTCTTATGTGCGCTTTAATATTGAACGTTTACAATTGAAAACTTCGTGAATTTTCATAAACTTCGACGAATTTTCCTGAACTATGAATCTAAATATTTTTTTTAATTACGTATGAGTATATAAAAAATTTGTTTGCAATCGACAATTACACAGAAAGAACGCTGACACGTCTAAAAACTTGGTCAAATATAATCCGAAAATAATTTTGTTAAGTCATCGAAATCATTATGTAGGACTTAGGACATTGATGCTTAATCCTGCAAAAATTCTTAATATTCTAACAACCAATTTTTGTCCTACTTAATTATCTTAATGATCTTTAAAAAAATTACGATCTGATATCTGGTCAAATTTTTAAACAGTTCCATCGGAATCATTCTCCCCGTGTAAGCACAGATAGTAAAGTTCGCGTTGCATTTGTCGATTCTCATCCATCTGTAACGATTGCTTTTATCTCGAGAGAATCAGCGCTTCCGGGCGAGCAGAATAGAACGAAAATTATCCTCGAATTATCTCCGGTTTTATCATTCTCGCTTGTCGCGGCGGGATTGTTATTGCCGTATCGCGAACGAAAAGAATCGAGCTCGCCGCGCGGGGAAAAGGGAACGATCGAAACGAAAGTGCGTTATTATTCCGCCGCGAGTTCCTCGCTGCGTATCCATCGCGCGACGTAATTTCCTCCGAACCGGAACGACGCGAACCGATATCGCTGCGAACATGCGTCTATTAGAGTTTTCACTTTTGTCACGCGACGGCGAAATGGGCACGAGGCGGCCGGATTTCTTTTTTTTTTTTTTGTTTTTTTTTTTTTTTTCTTTCTCGAAAATCGCCATAATGTATATAGCGATAATAATGGAAAAAACGCGGCCGGGTCAAATGCTGTTGGAAGTAATTTCGATCGAAGTGCCGGTAAGCGTATCGCACGAAAATAAATTGTGCTCGTGACATTTCGGCCGAATCGCCCTTCGCCGGCGTAGCGACGGGAAACTCCTCATTTGTCCCTTTTATACATCAGCGCGCTGACGTGGGGAAAAAACAATTTTGCTGAAGTATCTAAATATTTGGCTAGATATAAATCTGAAATTTAATTTTGTTGGCACGTCAAAATAATTGTATAATCAAATTGATGATTGGAA